AAGAAGATTTTTAAATGTGCGATTTCTTGGGATTTTATCTTAAATATAATTTTCCTATCTAATCTGATAGTCTCTTCTTTAAAAGAAGGTGGCAGAGTTTCCAGGCTTCAGGCTCTGTCAGTCTGCACCTGCTCCTGTCCATCTGGGCTTTCTCTTCCAATGTCTTCAGAGCAAGTGGATGCTCTTCCCTGTGCCTGATAAACTGTCCCTCTAGAGATGCACACACCTTGTCCTTTGGCTTCATGCACAGACATCACCATATTCAGGAATCCTTCCAAGAAAACCCCTATGTTGACCAGAATCTCATTCGTTCCACTCTACCTTATCCCTTTATCCACTTTACTTCACAGCTGACATGAGGGTGCCTCTCCATCACTATAATCCGAGCTTCTTGTGAACAGATTCATTTGTTTATCTGCATTGCTGAGATCAAGGTCTGGACAGAGTGGCTTCTTGCCATTCATAGGTTAAATGATGACGTGTGTGGCTACACAGTAGTGCCTCCTTAGCTGAGGCTTTGCTTTCCCTAGTTTCACAAACTTATGTCCAATAATGGTCCTAAAACATTAAATGGAAATTTTCCTGGGTTTTAAATTGTTCTGAGTGACATGCTGAAGTCTCCCATAGTCCTGTTCCACCCACCCAGTCTATAAATCATCCCTTTGTCCCACAGGGTGCACAAATATGAGGATAGCCATGCTATATAGAAGCACACTCTCTTGGTAACCAGGTCAACTGTCTGGGTAGCCTGGCACTCATAGAATATTCATGATGTCAGGCATCCACTTAAGCTCCACAGAAAGACTGCGTATACATTGTATATATATGCAAACACACACATATATGGAGATATATGATATGCTGCTCAGAAACACCACAGAATTGATCTGTCTAATGGGAATTCTCTGGACTCCACCCTGAAAATCCAACACAAAGGAGCCAAGCACTCATATTCCTGGCTGTGATTCATACGCCTTTGCCTCTGGGGTCACTGTATTTTTATTTTATTTTATTTTTTCATTTTCACAGCAATTTACTCTTATCTTTCTCAGAGAAGCTCCTGGTTTTTGTTTTTGTTTTTAATAAAAAAGTTAAAAAAAAAAAAAAAAAAAAAGGCAGAAAGATCAGGAATTCAAGGCCAATCTAAGCTATATAGTGAACCCGAGATCACCCTGTCTCAAAAACCAAAACAGGCTGGGCATTGTGTTGCATTCCTTTAATTACTGCACTTAAGAGGCAGAGGTAGACAGATCTCTGTGAATTTGAGACCAGCCTGATCTATATAGTGAGTTCCAGGCCAGTCAGGGATACAGAGTGAGACCCTGTCTTGAAACAAAACAAAACAAAACAAGGATACTTTAAGGTATCATTGCCATGCTGTTTGTTTGTTTTGAGGCAGGGACTTGAGATATAACTGAAACTATTCTGGAAAATAACACCCAGGCTGACCTTAAATTCACAGTCCTCCTCCTGCCTTTGCCTCCTGAGTGCTGGGATACAGGTGTGTACTTGGCAAGGAAACATTTTCAACTCTCTCCATTCACTTTTCAACCTTTAAAATTACTGTACACATGAAAGATAACAATTCTACCAATTATACTACATTCTTTTCCAACCCTATATATAGTCATGGTATATTTATAATTATCTACATATTTCTAACCAATGAACATAATGTTCTATATTGCTTTAAAAGTACTTAATTCACAAAACCCAACATAATGGCAAGCCAAGAGGAGATGTTAAAATATATATTCACTTCAACAAAATCTATTCTCATCTTTAAAAAAAACTCGATCCAGGAGCTAGAGAAATGGTACAGCAGTTAAAAACACTTGTTCTTTTTCCAGAGGACCCGGGTTCAATTCCCAGCACCCAGATGGCAGCTAACAACTGTCCATAACTCTAGTTCCAGGGGATCCGACAGCCTCTTCTGTCCTCCGCAGGCATTGCACGACATGGGTGCACCTACCTACATACAGGCAATACACGCACACACATAAAATAAAAATAATAAATAAAATACATTAAAAAATTTTAAGTCTAGCATACCTTTACTTCCAAAGTAGCACCAAAAGCCATTCTGAAATCTCCATTAAAATCTTTACTAAAAATTCTTTGGAATGTCTGCTTAAAGAGAGAGGTGTTGAAAGAATCTCCCATCACCATGTGGCCTCTAGGTGAAAAACAAAGAAAAAGTACACATTTAGGAGAACTGGAAGCCATTTAGTTGCTCTTTTTAGGATTAACAAGAATTTAAAGAAAGTCATGTCTATAAAGGTGCTGTTAATTAACTTAAATGGAAAACTTCAACTTGTACTTAGGAAATAAACTATCTCTAAAACATTAAACAAAGAATCCTTAAAACGGTTTTAGGAAGCCAGAGGGATGGCTCAGTGGGTAAGAGCACTTATGCCAAGCCTGATAACCTGAGCCTGATCCCTGGGAGCCACACACTAGAGGATTGGAACAAACTCCCACCAGTTGTCCACTGACCTCCACTCACAGGCTATGCTATGTGTGCTACCAGACACAAACACATACACAAAAATAAATTGAATAAATAAGTAAATAAATAATACATGAATGTAAAAAGAGCTTTAAAAACTTTTTAAAAATATAAGTTCTAGGGGCTGGAGAGATGGCTCAGTGGTTAAGAGCACTGACTGCTCTTGCAGAGGACCCAGGTTCAATTCCCAGCACCCA